ATTAGGAGCACAGAAGAGAAGAGTCTCCCAATAGTCTCTTTTTCTTGAAAATAGTTGCTTTATTAACCTCTTCAGGCAAAATAAGTTGCCATAGTTGCCTCAGGTTGAAAATAGTTGCATATAGTCGCATTTTAGTCACCCGTGACAACCCTGGTATAGCAAATGCAAAAGGAGTTTCAGTTAACATAATTTTCAGCTAAAATTGTGAAAATCGCAATAAAATTGCTTTATTTTTCCCCTTCATTTTCATCAGCATGCACATTCGAGAAAACAGTTCTTTTAAATTTTCACATTTATACCCCAGACATATATACATTCTATTTTTCATTTTTCATGAGAGCAAATAATAATAAATAAGGGCGGTCTCAAAAAAAAAAAGCTCTAAACCAGGCAGAGATTATGGAATTTTCACTCAAATAGCACATTTTTTCCCATGTAAGCCTAAAGAAATGGAAATTTAAAAAATATATAATAGTATAATAAAATAAAATAAAAATACCAACTTAGACTTTAGTGCTAATTAACATTATTAAAGGACCAGCCATATTTTAAGGACCCATTACATTCTTTTAACTGTAAATTTAATTGCACAAATATTGATCAAAAAAGATTATAATCTAAGAATATAAAATGTGAGGGGATAAAGAGTTCCACAGTCCCTGCAAATAAAATATTTTAAGTCTGCTAGGTGCCAGGTTAAACACTTCCCTTCACTCTTATAAGCAACACAGTATACATATTTTAGACTTGAGAGAAAAAAAAATTAGTACTATATTTTGATTAGCTTTACCTAAACCATGTATCGTGGGAATGCTGTACGAACATTAAAAAAAAAATTGTGATTGTTTACTGAGAAAATCTACTGTACCAACAAATTTACAGAAAATAATATTATTCTTACTTCCCTAATCACAAATGTGTAACAGCATCTGCAGGGACAATATTTTCATGAGTCATGAATATTTTTTGTTTGGCATACTATCTCGAGGGCCGTTTTAATAGCACAGAGAAATGTTTTGGGCCCTCATAGCGTGTCGTACTGCTTAAAATAGAACTGAAAAACTTCCCATAGATAAAAGTAAAGCATTTTTAAGATATGCAATAGTTTAAACACATTTTGATGACTCCAAAAACACAGCATTTTTAAACTATGCATAATTTCTAAAAAAATTGAGAGGCTAACTAGTTGTAAATCTCAAATAATAAAATAATTTCTAAAACCATGGAAGCTAATTAAACTAAAAAAAAACATGATTTTAAGGTTATTTGGTATTAACATAATATGTGTGCCCCATTGACGCTTAGAACCGAAACATAAAAACATTCTTTTATTTGAATTGACCCAATCTGAATGCTCGTCAAGAATTCTAACTAGCATTTTTGAATGTGTGACTCGAAAATAAAATTAATTTGAAGAGGGAACGCATTCTCTTTTGACGGGTCTATCGAGTGTTACGATCCAGGTTTTCCAGATTTTTTGGGTTGTCATGAGCATAAAACAATTTAAAGAAATTGTTTACATGAAAGCAATTTATTTACTTTTCATTTAACAGTATTTTTACTAAGATTACATATTTAAGGATTTTATTGTATTAAAAAGTAATTGGGTAATATTACCTTTATATATATTTCATGATAAAGATATTTAGTCACCATTCTATATTTATTAAACTGTGTATAGTTACATATACTTTTTAATAAGTTATATTTACTTAAAATTAAATTTAATATGAAACTGTATTCACTCAACGTATGCAGTTAAAATAATAAACACTTAATCACAATTTAAGGATGAATCCTAGAATAACCCACCCTGCGGCGATTTTTTTAAATCTCACCAAACTAGGTTTCCAGAAGATATTTTGAAGAGATTATTTTGAATCACACCACGATTAAAATCATCTTTATTATTTCATTTTTTAACCATTATTTCATTTATTACCGTTATTAATTAAATTTTTTTCCGCGGTACCGGTTGAAAATGGCGAGCAAATGGACGAGTGAATTTTTAACTTTATTGAATGCAAAAGGTAAGTTATTGAATGGTGTATGAATCAAAATTTAATTAAAATAATTCGCGAGGTCGTAAGAACGTACCCTCCAGTGTCAAATGATGAGCCATCAGAGAAAAGGTAAGTTATTTTTTATTCTATTAAAAAAATATTTTAATAAATTTGCAATAATTTAAATTGTTTTTTTTCTTTAATTATCAAAAAGCAACTTAGATCCCAGTAACAATCGCCAACTTGGCGAGATTTCAAAAAGTCGCCAAAAGGCCACTATTATAGGATTTTACCATTTAAAATTCTAAGACAGTATAAAGATCTAACTGTTCACACTATTGCTAAAATTAACCATTAACCTCCTAGGCAAAAACCATTTAACGAGTTTTTATAGTAAGCCAGTAATTAAATAAGAAGTTCAAAAAACAATTTTATGGATGAAGATATGATGGTAACATTGCAAAATGATTAACTCAACACCGGTTAACAATTTGCTATTACAATAAAATATTCTGAATCTTTCATATTACTACTTTTTCATTTGAATGCAGGAAATTAAAAATGATTCAGAAAACCACAGGAAATTTTATTATTCTATCAATTTAAAATTTTTACATGCTAACAATTTAAGAAAAATAATTGTAAGATATGATTTAAAGTAAATAAATAAAAATCACAAAATAAAAACGCTCTAATTTCTCTCTTGCTACTGGTCTAGTTTTAAAACATATGCCTTGCCAATAAACGACATCCCCTGTTTTTGAAATTGCCCACCCTTTCATTTAAGCGTTCATCCATAGAATTTAGATGGGTGATACTGCCTGGAGGAAGAGGTGTTTTTCGGTGCAAAGATTTGGAGGCGCACTTCTTAATCCTCATATAAATAGCCTCTTGGACTTGTATAACTTACGGCTATGTTGCCAAGGGGGGTCCCTAGGGTTTCCTGGTGTTTTTGAAAGTGAGGACAATTGAGTATGACAGGGTTTGTATGCACCTGGAAAAAATTAAAAATTGGTATCATAAAAAAATATATGTATTACAATTACAACTACTTCTCAGGTGCACAAACTGAACAGGGGGGAAAAGTGAGAATCAAGCAGCTAAAAACTTCATTGGAAGGTAGAAAAATAGGTTTCAGTTGCCTTTTTTTAAGTTTTCTTGGTGATAAACTATTCAAATTATGGGTGTCTGTGTGATAATCAATCACCATTTGTAGAAGGAATAACAAAATGCCCACTTTGTACAAAAGAATAAATTTATTTTAAAAAGTAATTAAGGCAATGTAGTTAATTCTAAATTTATTTTAATACAATTTATAAAAAGTAAGATTCGTAAGAGTTCCCTGAGTGCCTGGATGTGCCCATTCATGAAGACTGCACAGACTATTGATCATGAATATGTAAATTAATATATAATTCATTTCAATAAATGATTTCATTTCTCACTTTACAATAAATTAATAACTCTTATACATCTCATAATAAATACAATGAATAACTTTAAAAAATAAAGTTATAAAAGAAAAAAATATTTCAGGTCAGACAAAATTAAAAAAGCGCATTTGCTTTCATACTTTTTTTTATTTAATTCTGTAGAAGCAAATAAAAAATTAGTGAAAAATAACTAAACTGATTTAACTGACGGAGTAAACTGATTTTATTGAACAAATTAGATTTTGTTTCAAGTTTAAATAGTTTGACAAATTGTTGTTGCAATTGACTTATGACACTTGCCAATATCAGCAAGCCTGCTTGATGAAACCAAGGGGAATTTAAGGCAAATGGCACGTTTCATGTTTTTCAGTAGTGCCATTTTCAGTCAGAAATACTTAGCCACACATTCCTCACAAACCGTTTATAGGGCAGACCTATTCATTTACAAATCGTAATTTTTATCTGAGCCCGAGAACAATCAATCTCCAACGTAGTACCTTCAGAGGTATGATTTGATATGGGAACATGAAGAACTTTGCGACCCAGCAGATTTAATGTGCACCAATCACCATTTACTACACAGGAAGCAGTCTTCGGCCGACAGGAATCGAACCCACAACCTCTCAGACACGAGTCCCAACACCCTACCCACCGGGCTATCCCGGCTCGATCTTCAAACTTATTAACTGTATCCAAAAAAATGATTCGCATTTTCATTTTGCATTATAAAAGAACAAATAGTTTTAATTGCTTTGTAAAAATCTATCAGAGAAAAGTAAACTAAAGTATTCACAGGTGAAATTAAAGAAATATTTTAGCTCCACATGTCTTCACCTGTAAGAATGCAAATCAGCAATATCATATTTTTAGAACAACCTACGACAATGAGGGAGAAGATCATGCAAATGTAAAAAGGAAGCATGAAAAAAACCTAAAGAGTCCCGTTAGTGTAAAAAAAAAATCCTATAACTTTCACCAAACTGTAGCCAAGATCCTTAGTTACTTAACTGTAACTGTAATAAATATGCAGCAGAGCGAACAAAAAAATAGGAAAATTGAAGATTCATTATTAAATTCTTATGAAAAGTAATAAGGGTAAACTTTTTCTTAAAATAAAAATACACGTGACTAGGATTATAAAATAGTATAACTTAACTAGTTAAATAAACTCTTTTCTATTTAATTAAATTCAATAATCAGGAATAATCAAATTATATCTTTCTTTTTTCCCCTTTGTTGCCGTTTATTTGTTCATCAGACATCTTGGAGTTTTCAGTTGAAGGGGTTCTTAAAGTATACTTTATGTCATTTCTGATCAAATATTTTCATACCTGGGCGAACATGAAAATATTTTCACAGAAATACTAGTAAGTAAAAAATATGCCCATTACAGCATTTTTACGAGTCCTGAACATCGAGCAACATAATTTTCAAACACTAGTACATACAATATAATACAATAAGAACTGCAAAGAAAAAGTTGATACCAGTTTGATTACTAAATGTCATATTATTGAAAATATGCAAAAAAATAAATCACCATTTCAAAACATGCTTAACTTACCCAAAAGAGCTTGGAAAAGTCTACTTTTAAAAATTCTAATAACACGCTCAATAGCATTCCTCAATTGTTTGTCTTGTGGCTTATTGAGTTTACAATGATAATCTTCCAGCAGTTCCAAAGCCCTGTGGGCTTCTGAAAACAACAACAAAATAGGATGGGTTGGTTAAACCATTTTTTAACACTATAATGAATGACTCAAAAACAGAAAACATTAATTTACAATCAAAACAAAATGTACATTTCTGTTGTTCAGACATGAGAATTATTGTTTATGTTTCTAAAAATCTCTCAACAAGAGACCTTCTCTAGGAAAGACTGCACTTAGTCAAAAGAACTTAAAATTAACGACGATTCGCTCGTCCGGCTCAGGCCGCAATTAAATAATTATCATAACTGCCAATTGTTAACAATCTGGTAAATGAGTTCAAATGAATCTGCACATCCACAAATGATTAACATAGAAATGCCTTCCTTTGAAAGGAGGTTGAATTACTAATGAATACACACGCACACAAAATGCAGAATATGGCCATGTGCATATTACAAAATGCAATGCATCAAAAATTGGGTCTCAAACAAAAAATCTCAGGTGATACCACACTTGCTCTTATTAGAAAACTCATCAGCCAACTTTTAATGAAAAAATCCCAAGATGATTCAGTTAAAGATAATGAAGAATAGACTAAGAAAGACCTTTTATATTCAGGTACCTCAATAAATGATTTAATTTACAAGTCTTCCTTATGAAAATATTTAAAAAAATCAGTTAAACCGAATCGAAATAGATATCGACATAATAGAAATTTTACAAAAAGTTTCCTAACTTAGTAATTTACTTTAAAAGTGCACAGATTTTTAGATTGCTCCTTTAGTTAGAGAACTAAATTATTAAGAGAACCAATATAAGTAAAAGTTCACAAAGTAATTTAATATTGCTTACATTTAAGATTTGCAACAGAAATTGTGTAACAATAAATATTAAACAAAGGAAATTATGCACAACCTTTCCATTACTTCGGTTCATAGCTTCCAAAACCATGCTATGAGAAAAAACATAGTTATACCCACACTAAAACATTCGAGGAAGTTTAAGCATTCTGGGGGTTCGGACGGATACCGAACGCGTGGGTTGATTGAGTAGAATTCCACATAAACAGATGTGATGTAGTTTTGTGATCTGTGTGAAGCTTTTGAATTTATCTTTACTTAATATTAAAAATAATACAGTTAAGAACATGCAGGTACCTGATGTGTACCTTAGTATGTATGGCGAAATTTTATGACTATGTAACAGTCAAGTGAAATCTCATTGTATTTTTATTTAATGTAACGTCTGTTTAGTAATATTTCATTTTAATTTTAATTTATTTCTTTATGCTTAAGTACATACATACGTTTAATAACTTAATTTTTCTATATTTTTTTCATAATTTTAAAATTTTACCTCCAAGAATTAGATATTTTTCATAATTAATGTTAGATTTTCATATTTATTTTGCTTGGCTTGCATAATTAAAATTGTTTTGAAATTGCAGTTATGCACTGTACTTACATAAAACTTTTAAAATGAATTTTTTTTTCTAAATAATTATTAAATCCATTCATTATTATATTTAAATTGACCATAATATAACAATATTCTTTTTTTTCCTCCAACTTTTCGTACTACTATTTAACACTTGAAATATTTATATTATTCACTCAGTTGAAGTAAAATTGAAATTTGGAACTGTAAAATACTTTTTTTTTTCTAAAATGTTCCTCTGTACTTCAATAATAAAGAGGTTTAAAAAAGGGAAAATTAACCTTTGAGCTACTCTTGTATACTTGACTTTTAAAAAAAAGTATTTATTAGAGAAATCTTTTTCTGATTTCTTATTTTTAAAATTTTCTTCTCAAGTTTATTCACAACTTTATTTTACTTTTTATTTACAACTTTATTTTTGTATTCCTTAAGAAACGATAAATCCATATTTTTGTGTTGATTTTTTAATACAGTTTTTAATTTTTCACAAATTATGTCTAAATTTTCACAAAATAGGCACCTTTCAGAAAAACCTAGACTGACCCCTGAGAAATATCACTACTCTGAACAGTAAGATGTTGCAAAATTTTCCAAGAGCACTGTATATTTAAAAAGTTGATATTTAAAAATAATAGGATAAACTGTACTCATAAATATAACCCTGATTAATAAAAACATTTACAACTGAAATAATAAATTAGGTGAGTACAGGCAGAAAACATTTGAAGGCTTGTTTCAATTATTTACGCAATCATGATGCACATATGAAATGCATAACATAAAATTAATCAAATAAAACATTTAACCATTCAGCATACAAAATCTATAAAACTTTATAAGGAATCAGTTTAAAGATATTCCAAGTATAATTTATTATTAAAATATTTCATTTATAAACAAACATTTAATCATTAGACTTTTAGAAGTTAAAAGATCTCTAAAACAATATTCATCTAAAATATAAATCACTATTGCTAGGTAATCAGCCCGAAAATAATAATTAGAAAAAGCTCTAGTTATTATTTTGTTGAAAAATAATGATAATTAGCGGCATATTTTCAAACACTGATTTTATTTTAATTATAAACAGATCAGGTGATTTTATGATAATGGAAGAACATTGTGTCATGATTTAGTGCTATCTAAGTTGGTTTTTTTTGGACAAAATACAGGATATAAAAACACAGGGGTGTGTTGTTGATAAAATCGCCTGTCATCGGCAGGGTGTTGGTGAATTTCTGACACCGCATTCGTAAACATGATTTCTCAAAGATGAATTGTATAGGATACTTTACTCCTACTATTATTAACTTATATTTCATCAACTATCACAATTACCTTGCTTGCGGACAGGCATGGCCAAACCTCCGATGTCAAAATAGTTATTTGGCCACAAAGCTGGCGTAAGCGCCACGATTCTTATTTTTCTGGCAGCGGATTTTTATAACGTAAGCACTTTGTGAAAACACAACACAAAATCACAACAAACTATAGCCCTTCCAAAATTTTTAGCAGACGACACTCGGATAAAAACATTCAATTACGTCACTGACCAACTATTTGACGGCACTTCACTACTCTACAACAGTTGCTCCCGCTGAATACCTCAGACAATATGGCGGCTATAGGGTTACCATAATGAACAAAAACTGCGCCACATGTCGCCACACAAGATACTGTATAGAATATTCTCGCCAAAATCATCGCCACTTATGCTTCGCAAGTAATATTGTTGCCAAATACTGCGCCAAATATAAATTGTAATGAATATTGTCGCCAAAAATGACCGTTACAATTTTTTCAAATTATGCCAAACAAGAAGCAAGGACTGCTTTAAAAACATAAAAATTAGGATATTTTTAGATGTCATAAAAAACAAGACAAACCTACAAAGAGCCCGATAGTTTTTGAAAACCAGCCATTACAGAATTTTCGGTGTCGAATGAAAATTTAAAAAAGAAATTAACCGGAGGTATCTTATTAGAATTTAAATAATAAAATTTTTTGTTGCACCTGCTTCCGTAAATTTTTGAAAATTAGCATTCTTAAAAGAATTTTTACTGAAAGTGGTCGTTAGATGAATTTTTAATGAAAATGGTTGTTTCCGAAAAACCGTCACACGATAAATTTTTCTTTGTAAAATGAAAATTTAAAAAAAATAATAAGTAAATTAATCGAAGGTATCTTTTTAGAATTGCATTGAAATCATTTTTTGTTTCATCTGCTTCGGTAACCTTTTTGATCAATCTGAAAAAATGAAAAAAATTAATGAAAATGGTCGTTTGCTAAAGATTTTTCTCTCATTTTTTTTCAAGAAATAAAAAACTTATCGTTTTTAAAGTTTTGGATTGTAGCAAAAATATACTGCGCTCAATTATGTAACGTAAAATTTGTAATGAACTTGTCGTTTATTATCAGGTATAATTCATTTGACCCCTCGCTCGTTAACCCCCAAAGTTGATTTACCCATTCAATCCAAACCATAATTTAAACGCGCTTCGGAAAGTTAGACATAGTCTTGATTAATGCTCCAACTTTTATACATTATTACTTTCTATGACTTATTTAAATTAAATTAGAGACTATGCTCGACAAAAATTTACAACGCGACAAAATTTACATAAATTCGCAACAAAAGAAAAACTCAATCTATATAGAAGTGACTTTGCATACGCATTATTAAAAAATCACAATATTACAATGTAATTACTCAAAAACTAATTAGAAACTTGAACAAATTGTTCATCTTCAGGCATAAGAGTAAATGGCCGTGAAAGATCATAATTCTGTAATTGTTTTCGACTAAATCATTCGGCAAAAAAACAGATGTCACGAATCTTATACAGTCGAACTCGTTTATAACGAGCAAAAAGGGACCGTAACATGTACTCGTTAGATCCGAGTGCTCGTAATAAGGCTGGTGTGCAACCAGAGGGTCTTGGGAGGTCAAATGATTGAGTTTACTTAAAATTTAATTAATAATTACTTACTTTAATTACACTAATTAATTTAATTAAATACTTTTCTTAATTTAATGACAACTAACGCATTTCTTATCATTTTGAAAAAAAGAAAAGACAGAAAGACTAGAAAGATGAGAAAAAAGATTGCAAGACAGAAAAATATTGCTCGCTAAAACCGGGTCTTGCTCGTTAAAAGCGACTTCTGTTCCATAGACTTAACATTGATCCAACCAAATATTCTCGTTTCCCTCGGTAAATCCGAGTTCTCGTTAAATCCGAGCTCGTTATAAACGAGTTCGACTGTA